GTAAGAGTATAAAATTCAAAAGTCCTGATGAATACGTGAATTTCACCTTTTATTACTACGTGGGCACACATAGGCTGCAGGGGCGTAGGTAGAACTTTGATTATTTTTCGGGTGGAGAGGGTGGAAGTACAGGAATACTTTGTCTGTGCGTGCACTTGTAAGTGTGTGTGTGTGTGTACATATACGCGAGGAAAACTAAAAATTCGAAAATGTCTGAAGCCCCACCCCCACCATATACGCCACTGATAGTTTGCAGCGGCACTCTAACCTGCGAAGAGATTCAGCTTTGTACGATTAATTGCAGTCATCATTTTTACAAGTCTCACTGTATCTTCCTTTCTTTCATTTCTTGCTTCTTTTCCTTTATCTTTCCTTGTCTCTTTTATGCTATCTTGATTTTTTTCATGCTATCTTTCTTGAGCAGTGGCGGCTGAGCGGTTGCCGCAGCGTTAGCCACACAAAGCCGACGTCTACGCAAGTTTTTTTTTTTAACAATGAACATTTCCAGAGTGATATCTGGGTCTACTCACACTTAGACAGTATCTTGTTCTCCTCCACTGTGCCTCCGGAACCATGCAGCCGCGCCAGTGCTATCTGCAAAATTAAAAACCCCGTTGTGCGTCACGTCGCACTCGAAGAGATAGCGAGAGATGCTGAGAGTTCGCGGATGGCCTCGGAAGCAATCAGCGTTCTATCGTTCCAAGTAACAAGCACGCGAATGACACGAGCTGATCAGACGACAAAGGCCTGCCATCGCGAGCCAATCACGGCCGAATTCAACACCCACCAGCAATAACCACAACCCAGACAAGCCGTGGGGGCGGAGCTGCGCCGTTATCAACACTTCAATCGTATAAATACCTAAAACGAGGCAATCCCGTGAAAGGAAGTGGGATGTACATCTGGTGATACTACTGTCACCGCCTTTCGGAAACAGCAGAGCGTGTTCGTTATCTTTTGAAACGCTTCCGTAGTGTGGCGTGATAGTACGTGTACAACATCGGTCGTATGAACGGAGGGGAATTAAGATGTGGTACACGATTGAATCTTTGCAATTCGACTCAATCACTGAACTGATATTTAATAAAGAAGGACGATGTTGCATTGTACCAATGTGTTCGCACTACTTGCCACCTTCACGCGATAATTCTAATAAGATGGTAATCTCCCCGCACAATGTGTACGACAAGTAATCACCGAAATCTCCCGCAATGCTTTGATTATTCGTACTTTGGTAATCAACAGTCGATTACCGAAATTCGCCCCGCCACGGTGGTCTAGTGGCTAAGGTACTCGGCTGCTGATCCGCAGGTCGCGGTATCAAATCCCAGCTGTGGCGGCTGCATTTCCAATGGAGGCGGAAACGTTGTAGGCCCGTGTACTCAGATTTGGGTGCACGTTAAAGAACCCCAGGTGGTCGAAATTTCCGGAGCCCTCCACTACGGCGTCTCTCATAATCATATAGTGGTTTTGGGACGTTAAACCCCACAAATCAATTACCGCAATTCGCCGAAATCCTCAGCAGGCTGACTCTCATAAATCAGTATTTTCAATACGTACATCACTAACACAACCACTATGATTTAAAGTCAATCAGTAGGTGCAAAGAGACACTGGGCACAAGGGATTAAATTAATGGACGTGACAGAGAGATGGATTATCTATAATAAAATATTTCCTTTGTTTTTTTTTTTCTATCATGATCATCAGACGTTCTGCCCAGGAGTCAGTAATGACTAATGAGCTTGGAAAAAAATGAGACATAAAAACAGATGGAAGTATTTCTCACACAAAAAAGAGAACTCCACGAGGAATAACTGCGGGAGTTGCCTAAGCGATGCGCAAGCGTTTGCTGCTGATCAGCTGCTCTTTCGTCGTCCTGCGATGCTATGTTGACACTAGTACTAGCACGCTCTTTGAGACAAAGTCCAAAATCACGCGCTTCCGTGCCCTGCACGTGCTCTGCGTTGCGGCCCATCCCGGAACGCAGGAGCATAGGCAGAAATTTGTATTGTGAGTGCCACGCCTTTGGTATAAAGTCAGGGTCAGGAAGGTAAGTGTGGTCCAGGGGCGCTTTGTGCCCTGCATCACATAGTCAGAAAAAAAAAACTATAGCGCTTGTTCTGTGTACGAATACAACCGATGAACGTAGCTCCTTAGACATGGGACGCAAACGACTCTGCGCCTAATCTCACTGCGGGCTTCCATGATGGCGGTAGGGTGGGGAGTGGGTGGTGGTGGTGGTGGTAGTGGTTAGAAGATAAGAAAAGGCACCTAATTTCTGCAACCCAGTCGGGAGCACGGCGCAGTGCCTGAGGAGTGGGTAGGGAGGGCTGCTGCTGCGCTTGGTGGCGGGAACGATTGAGAACGGCGATCGCGGCACAGCGAGAGCCATCTGTCGGGAGCACGCACCTGTTGTTATGCTCGGCGCGCTCGCCCGGCGCAGGGAGCTTCGACGGCGACGGCGGAGTACGAGCCTAGGGATCGTCGCTCCGAAATATTTTGAAACGGAGGGAAGCGAGCACACGTGTGCCACTCCCTCCCTGGCTGGAACGTTGTCGCGCGGCATCGTCATACCGCTGTGTCCTTGTTTTGCAGTGCAGCTGTATGCGGTTACGTTCTGGCAGGCGCGCGGAAGGGAAAAACAGTGAAAATTGCCGCAAACCGACAACTCGACTAATTCAACACTTTGGAGTCCGAAAAAACCTAACATGGTGCAGAAGTAAACATTGTAGTGCGTGATGACATCGACATGGTAGAATGAAGTCAATTTTTTACATGCGTAGGAAAAGAACATCATGCCATTTTTGTACATTCGAAACTACTGAACTGCTTATGCACTACAGAATTTATTTCGAGACCACAGTTTATGAGACAATACGCGCCATGCGTAAAAGAAGCCCAGACAAAATTTGGCACGTGTGTCTCTTTCACTGGCTGAACGTAGTAAATAGAAACAACGAAGGCCTTCAAGTTTCACACCTCCATCAGGCTCGGCACTGCTAGCGTGAAACTTCATTTTTTGTCAATCTGCTTTCCAGTGGACACCTTGAAAATGTGCTTCTATTTTTGACAAAAAGAAACAACATATCAAGAATAGGCAAGCAAATTTAACTGTCATATGCAGTGCTTGGGTATTACTAAAGAAAAGAAAAAAACAGTAGTCAAAAAGGAAGAAACGCATCGAAATGATAATGTGAGAATTATGACATACATAGTTTGCTTTACCATACAGCGTAGCACTGTTAAAGATGTGAAACAATGAGTCAATGGAAGTGGGAATATGTATCGTAAAAAAATACTGTTTCCTGTGTTGTCTAAGAGAGGGTTTTGTTTCCTGATCCCGAACAATTTAAAATGACTCAGTGTTCTCCAACCAAATTTTAGGCATTCAGCCTAGCGGTTATAGGGTACGGCGTCTGAGCGTGACACCATAGTTTGAAAGTTTACTATCTATTCATCTTATCTGACATGACGACGGGTGAGGTGACATACAAGTCTTTCGTTAAGTCGGCATAGAAATGTTTACGTATTTTAAAGAAAAAGTTATGTCTGAACAGTAAGAGAGCAGACAGGCAATCTCGATATTGTGCATTTTCGCCTGTGGTGGTGTATCGGCTACAGCATTGGACAGCAGACCTGAAGGTCGCACGTTCGATTCCGACCCTGGCGGTCGCATTTCAATGTAGGCGAAAGGGTAGAGGACTATGCACTGCGCGATGTCAATGCACCTTAAAGAACATGAGATGGTTTAAATTTTCGGAGCCTTGAATATGCACACTTTCCACCACATCTATATACCCAACGTCTATCGAGACATATGTATGTGTGGTGGAGCCACACGAGCACTTTTTCCCGTCACGTGGGAGCGTGCACCGCACGGAGGAGAGAACGACACAAATGGCGCTTGGGACGAATTGGAGGCGCCGTTGTCTAGCCCCGCCCAGCAGCTAAAACTGATGCGCAAAGCAAGGCGCGTGCCAGTGGGGCCTTCGAATATAGGCAACACACAGACTACACTCTTCCCCCGCATATTCCCTGCGAAGCACTGCACTTCTAAGCCTGTCTGGTTTCTGTGTATGATAAAGTTTTTCCACCACCCATGCTACTTCATTACGACGTGTCCCAACGTTAAACCGTAAATAATAATAATAATAATAATAATAATAATAATAATAATAATAATAATAATAATACCTAAATTAATGTTGTTCTTGTTGTTGTCGTCGTCGTCGTCGTCGTCGTTGTTGTTGTTGTTGTTGTTGTTGTTGTTGTTGTTCAGAAAGGCCAGCGACAAACACTAATAATTTAGAAACCTGGTGAATTGAGTCTATCTTCTCTAACTATTATGGCTTGACATAAAACGAATTGAATTATAGGCTTTATATGGCGACATTGCAACATTACTACACCACTTTGAATCAGTGTCTTCAAGTTCCGATGCACGATTCTTTACTTTGTATATGCTCGCGGCTTCTTGATGTCCGATTCCACTTCCTACCTCTTTTGATCAGACAAGAGGCAGGCTTGTCGCGATCATATATATCTCATACGACCCCAAAAGTCATAAACTTCTCCTACTCTCCCGAAGATGGATTTCAGCCGGCGGTCGTTAGTATCCTGTCTTATCTGCACCTGGCGGCAACTAAAGTACGAATTCCTGCTGACAGAAAGTTGCCTGATTTTACGAGCGGTGCCCAGCTAAGTTCGTGCAACACGCGTCAGCAGTTACTACACAGTCGCTGAAGAGCTACAGGAGAAACGGGCACGGAATTCCGCTCACGTTTCCTTCAGGCTTTTTCTCCACAGTTGCGCGCGCTTTCCCAAAACGACGCTCTCGGTGGAACGCGAGGCGCTGCACGTCGCTAACTCGGCCGATAGGCCCCAGTGGTCGCCACCGTCGTACGGAGCGCGCAGCCACGTGACAACCGGGCGCGCACTGCGCGCGGCGTTGGAAAAGCGCTCGCGAGCGCAACAAGCCTTCGCGCCGAGCGAGCAGCACCCCGTTGGAGCAACGCCGCCGACGGGGCAGCAACCGCGTGTTCCCCGCCGCCACTCCCAGTGAAGCAGCGTGCGTTTCGCGCCGTCGACGCGCCGTTTTGGCTCGCACGGAAGAGAAGACAAGATAGGCGCCGAAACCGGTGCTAACTGAGAGACTTTCCCCGTGAGCACCCCCAATCTTTTTTTCCATAAAGCCTGAGCGCCGATACGACGTTAAGAAGACACTTGTCCACGAGGGTTTTTTGAGCAACCGAACCTGCGGGACACCGAAAAACGAGATTCATTTCAAGTTCCCGTCCCCGCGAAAACGGCGTTGCACTCCTTCCACCTTCTCCAGCCTGCGGCGGCTGCTCCGTTGGCACTGTCAACCGCGGCAGCGGCGGCAGCAGCGGCAATGAATGGCCGAAACCATGCTCACAATCACCAGTCGCCTCACCAGCAGCAACACTTACCCGTCCACGAACTTCTAGCCCGATACCATGCACCCCGGCACCACTCCGGTGTGATGACCCTGACCAAAGCGCCGGTGACCGAACAGGTAGCAGTGCCCATGTCTCAGCAGCAGCACCAATCCCTCCCTCAGGTCTCGTCGAGTGATCTGGGATCGGGTGGCGGTGGAGGCGGTAGACGTCGCCAGGGTTCGCAGGCCAACGGCACGGCAACGACGCGAAGTCCGAAGTGCGCCCGATGCCGTAACCACGGTCTCAGCATCGCCATTCGAGGACACAAGCGCTTCTGCAAGTTCCGCCAGTGTGACAGCCCAAAGTGTCGGCTGACCGTCGAGCGCCAGAAGGTGATGGCGGCCCAAGTGGCACTGCGCCGAGCCCAGGCGCAAGACGAGGCGCTTGGCCGCATCCCGACCGACGAGGATGCCAAGCCCGTGCTTCCAACGGACTCCGGCGCGCCGATCATGCCACAGGACCACTCCGACGTCTCTCCTACGGGGACCTTCGGGAGCAGGGCTCGCCGTGTCCACCAACTCCGCCTTCAGGGCAGCCCCCGGTGAGTGCTGGCAAAATGTGCTTCTACTCCAGACAATCTCATGTCGTTTCGAAGAGGAAACGGCCGCTCGGGCGAAAGGAGCAAGTCTCCGTCGCGGACGTCCTAATTACTTCGCTCAAGACGCGAAAACGAACTATTCCATGGGAACGAATAGCGTTTGGAACAACGCCACATTTTTTTTTATGTACTTCTTGTAAAGCGCGTTGGAGAAGGCCCAGCCGTTTTGTCTTTCAACGCTTCTCCTGCTTTGCCTCACGTGAAACCACGTGAGCTGTATTTCTTTGTCGAGTAGTACTCTATACAAATGACCCCGTCGTGAGAGGTCGTAGCTGTACACGATAAACTACTTTTCAGTCGTTTTTCCCTGCGCAGCGAGAGCTTTTGCCCGCAAAACCCGCGCGAAAGGTCTTGCCGTGCCCCGTCAGATTATACGCCCGTTTTTTTTTTTTTTTTTCACTAGTAAGCATGAACGTCGGTTAAATAACTTTGAAGTTTTTACTTTTTGGTGGTCTCTTTTGTTGCTTTCTTTATATCGTCTCCATTTTTAAAACACAGTTTGGAATTTCGTGCAGGCAGTGTCTTAAGCGCTGAAGCTCCTACATTGATGGCCTCCTTTGAAGGAGGTTCCGTGGCTTTCACATGATGTCGTCGAAAATATGCGGAGGCATGTTTCATAAACATCAAACATGCTTTGGCACACGGGTGACTCGCGGGCGCACAGCGCAATACAAATGCAGCATTTTCGAAACAAAAGCATCGATAAAATGACGTTTCTCTTCATGTCCTCTGTCGGACGAGGAGACAAGCAACATCATTTACAATGAAACCCTTTATCGCGAGGGATGATCACTGAAAGTTATATTTTCGATGAGTTTCTATGCTCTAAGGTTCATGGATTACGTGGATGCTGTAATAATTGTTGGTGGATGCTACGGATCAATGTGTTCACTGTTGTTTGTAGTCGGCGTTTGTTTTACATTTTAATAACATGAAAACGTGTACCGGCTTTTGCAAGTGTGGAACCTTTTGAAACTGTGTTCAAGAGCTTCCAGACTTCGCATTGTAAACTGCACAGCATTCCTCCTTTTGACGTTGCTCAGTGCCCTGTGAAGTTTATGTTGTACGTATGCAGGATGTTCTTAGAAACAGTCATGTTTCTGCGCAAAGAACGCAAATTAAACATTACGAAGTGCACACCCCTTTGACAGATACCGTATGTCCATTTGCAAAAGTTATACCACCAAAGAAAGGTGCTAAAGCTTTTGCCTTCCTAAGCATATTTTGTTCGCTGTTGCGCGTTCTCAGCTACGAGGACATGTGGGATTTCTTTCGAGAAATACTTCAGCGCTGGCAAGCCAGGTCACCTGTCTTTGACTTGACGGAGCAGACAAGTCTCCACATGGTGACGACGAAGGCGTTACAATTTCTACGTTACACTGTTTTCCAGCATCAAACCACGACTATGTTAGGTTTTATTTGCTTATTTTTATCTTAATAAAACTTTCTTCAGTATTCTCAGGAGCCTCTGGCCTGGATCTTCATGGCGTAACCTCATCTTCTTTTGTTTATGCTAAAAAAGGGTTATTAAAAACTCTTACTGTCTTTAAAATTTGACACGTGTATATGTATCATAGGTATACAATTTTGGTCTCTAACGCTTAGTATTAATAGGCGCCTCTATTAAACGTAACTAAAATATATGACAACTAAAGTTCTGAAAGGCAACCAATAGATTCTTAATAATTAAGCGAGAGTTCGTGTGGTGGACATTCTACCGATCGAATAGCCGATAAAGTTCACGTGAGTAGTTACATAACATGGGCTATATAAAATAGAAAATGATAAAGATAAAAAGTAACATTGAAGTAATAACAATTGCAATATATGTGAAGATACGAGGTTAGGCTAATACAACTGAATGCAAATGCAAGTGGGATAAGCAATACAGAACAAACGAATCATCGCGTAGGTACTTATAGGTAATTGTGCACGGTGGAAGAAAGAAAAAAGTCGCATGATATGAAATGGAAATGATGCTGGAGGCAAGGTAGTTTCAGTCATTGGCAGCGCGTAGGTCGAAGGAATGCTAGAAAGTGTTAGACGATCAGCTAATGACGTATAACTTATGACGATGATCTAAACGAGCTGTGCGATTAGCTGCGGTTCTAACGAACTGAGTTTTCAAAGCTGGATTGTTGAATATGTTATGAAGTATGAGACAAGGTGCTTTGCGACGTGATTCATATGGCTGGTAGGAAAATATGCGTTTCATGGACGTTGCAGTGCTAGTATACGACAGTAGTCAGATAATATGGAGCGCGCTGCGTTGTTCTGCCCAATATTCAGCCCCGCACAAAACTGTTTTGGGCATACTTGTCTTTTACACATTGTTAGTTTCACGGCTTAATGGGGCGATAATAAAGATGACTCGTAGGCTTTATAGCGTATACGGTTGCTATTGTTAATAACGCAGTTTATGTGATGTTTCCAGCTCGAATCAGATGTCGTGTAAGCCCCCAAGTATTTAAACATAGTAAAAGAATCTAAAGTGTAGTTAGCAGGAGGTACAGCGGTGCGTTAAAATCCATAAAAATTTACATTTTTTAGTGGTGAACTTCAGACGTGAAGCTCTGTACCATCTATCAATACTAGTAATGTCAGTTTGCAAAGGCACAGCACAATAAACAACTCATTGAAATTTCATGGAACAACACAGCTGTCTACAAAATGGTGCATCTAAAAATTCGTCAATAAAAACTTTATCCAAGTAAAAATACAGCCGTCACTATTAAAGGTCCTAAGCTTGTAGAGTAGTAGGAGATGATTAACCTTGTCGAAATCCTCCGAAATATCTAAAAAATGCAATTGACCTTTGAACACCGATCTACAATGGCATTAGCGAAATTGGTAAAACTGCGTTTCACGCGAGAATGACTTCTGGAAAGCATGCTATATACGGCACGTTGAGGAACAAGTTTTATTGAAGTAAGCTGACCAAGTTGAAGAAAAAATTATGTGCTTCAAAAATCTACGTGGTACACAAGTAAAAAAAATAGGTCGCTAATTATAGAGACAGAATGTTTGTTTCCTGATTTATGAAGTGGAACCACTTTCGCCTTTTTGCGATGCGTGGCACTCAGCATAAGGTGAAAGATTTTTGAAGTATTTCACACAAAAAAAGGGATTAGGTACGTTTAGTTTCTTTAATTTTTATTTATTTATTTAGGCGATGTTTTCAGATTATTTCACTTGGTATTATCTGCGTTGTTGCTGTTGGTTTTTCCTTTTGTTTTCTTTTACTTTACTGGGCCTTCCATTCAGAAGTCTCTGTGCCCTGCCACTCTTCTTCATTGCGGTGTAGAATTTCAACGAACTACAATAAATTAAAAAATGGCGCCAAAGGGAGCAGTTTTCAAGAGGACAAGACAAATTAAAGATATGTAAGAGTTGCATGTTTTTCGCAGAACTTTATTTTGTTTGATTTCAGGTATATTAAACACACTAAGTGAAGAACGAGTTGTATACTAGAATTTCAACGAATATATGTGTCCCTACAAAGCTATTCGATATATATATATATATATATATATATATATATATATATATATATATATATATATATATATATATATATATATATATATATATATATATCTTTGCAGGCCTATACCGTTGCTGTTTGGCTCAGGACGTCGCGAACAACGGCTTTGTTTCCCAAAACTCCCTTGATCTCTGAATTATCCGAAACGTCTGACCTACAATATATTCCCCGAATTCTCCGGTATAGAAAAGTGTAAAAGCTACACTTTTCACTGCTTCCCATGTTTGATATCGTAACGGAAGATACTAAAAACAAAAGTGATAAACAATAAAACCAAACCAATATCTACTTCAGTAAAGTCTCACGCATAACATACATGCAATTCTAAACCGGTTATTATCACTGTCTTTTCTCCTCCCGCTGCGCTGCCTTCTTTACATACACGATTCGTTTTTGCACATTAATTACGTCGAGAAGTTAGACATTCAGCTTCATTCCTTCGGAACTATTGTATGATTAGATTTCCTTTGGCGCGATGCCGGATGTTTTGAATTCGTCATTTGGCTCTCTTTACAAAAAAAAAAGTAAACGATACTTGCTCTGTGTTAACTTCAATTTTTAGATCACTCTGCTATGCAAAGAACACACACACACAATAAAGAATGATCCTGCCATTTTTACCGACCTACTTTTCGTATATATCACCTACCATACATCGAAAAAGTTACAAGTATATCGGTACAGTACTATTCATTTCAATAGAGTTATCCACAGTACAATATTGAATAGTAAATAGAGGAGATATGAAAACGAATAAATTGCGAATATTCTGAATATTAATCATTTTGCAAAGTAAGCTCGACATCAGTTCCCGCGATACAGTTTATAGGGATTCCGGTAAAAACGATCATGAGCTGTGGTTTGAATGCTGTCAGTCAAGACGCTGTCCAGACACAGTCTAGTCGTGTGCCACTCTGTTCGTGTATTACATTTTCGAAACATGTCCCAGTAGTCAGTAATGCCATGTGACGCATTACGATGACGTCATCAGGAAATCGGGCACTGTCATCGCAGGCATCTCAATAGCGTTCATATAGTACGTGTATGCAGCGCGTGAATTGTCACGGTAGCAAACGGAAAGTTTCGACGTCTTCGAGATAATTCTCACATTTCCGTATAGAGTTCTTGACGCTTATCTATTTCTCTTTTCTTTGACATTGGTGAACAGACCCTCGCGTAGAATATTGTGAAGCTTGATTGGTAAACAAAAATATTTGGGGGGGAGGGGCGGAATCCGACAGATAGGCGAAGATTATTGAAAGGGGAAGTTGCTTCTCTAGAAAAAAACGTCTAAAAACATTTGAGTGCGAGAAATATGCACGACAAAGAAGGAAAACACCCACCACCCTCTTCCTGTGCCGTTTTTTTTTTTGCTCAGTTATTTTATATTACAGTTAGATACTAACTAGCCCACCTAACCATCTGTTTACAAGTTTTCTATGCAACACATAGTGATAGAAGAAAAAAAAAATGTCGGCACTGTACCCAGCTCTACGAACTTGATTGCTCAGTTTACAACGACACAGCACGAATAAGGGATTGGTGCTTCGCGAACCACTCGAATGCATAGCTCAGTTTGTTTTTCTTTTGTTTTTTTACTTCAAACTTTCTTGTAGTATCCGTACGCGTTTCTGTTGCGGGGACTCCCAAACAGCACCTTCCATATTTGTTGCTATAGCAGCAGCGTTCGTAGGGATCCCAGAGGCGCGCTGGTGCCGTCGCGCGGCGCCGTTGTCGTGACGTTTCTTCTCGGCAAGTGCGCAACATAGAGCTTCCTAAAATTAACTAGAGGGTACTCTGGCGCTGCGATCGTTCAGCGACCG